GACCTTTCCTGTGTCACTGCTACATGGATAAGGTATAAGGAAGATCATTTATACTATGCTTAAAATTGAATTATTGGTTCCAACTGCTACACTTGATAGTTTATCTACTTATTAGTTAGAATCATTTTGAAAATATGAATCCATAATAAAAAATCTCCATAAGTTCTTTCAAAATGACAAAAAAGAAAATCTGAATTTTCTATAGCTATTAATGATCAAATCTCTCATTAATAATCACTCCTAGATGTTAATTAAAGAAATTATGCCAACACATATAGAAAATCTTCTAGAGACAATAATAAAAAGATTATTTGAGCTCTGCATAACTCTGATGCAAACACATGACAAAGTCATTAGAAATAAGAAAATTTTTAAGCTACTCTCACTGAAGAATACAGATGTAAAAATCGTAAACAAAAATATTAGCAAGTCAAATCTGGCAATGAATAATGGAGAATAGAATATATATCGAAATTGATTTTACTCAAGAAAAGCAAACTTTAAATTACAAATATAATTCATCATAAACCTACTACCAAGTGGATGCTGACACATAGTGAGTCTATATCTGGTTTCTGAGACTATAAAATTTTATGGGAGCAAAAAACTTCAACTTTGTCATTTGGAGCAGATAGTGATTGGTTTGAACTGCTCAAATGGTGATTAGAAGCTCAAAGCTTATTGGTAGAATTATTATTTTTAAGTTGTTTACCTATTTCTTTTTTTTCCTTTTCTTTTTTTAATTAAAAGATCATTTTATTGGGGGTTCTTACAGCTCTTATAACAATCCATATAACAATCCAGTTATATCAAGCATATTTGTACATATGTTGCCATCACTATTTTCTAAACATTTACTTTCTATTGAGACTTTGGTATCAGCTCCTCCTTTTTCCCGCTGACAACTCCTGATCACACAGGTTGGTGTGCTTCTTCCATGTGGGGTTATTTGCTTCCCTGGTAAATGGCTGTTTGTTTAACTACATTTCTTTAAGACTCCAGGAGCTATATCTTTTAATAGCTAAGCACCATCAGCTTTCTTCACCACGTCTTCAGTGAGCATGTCAGGAAGGTATCATACAGTGCCACATTTTTAGAACAAATTGGTCTTGTACATAGGTAAGATTTTACAAGAGACCCAAAGTCCATCGGCTTCCTTATTGTATTTACATATATGTACACATAAAGACAAATACCCTATATTTGTATATTTACATACTTATATATCTATATTTATGGCCATATATATAATTATTAGCTTTCTTCTTTCTTCTTTCCTCCTGCACTGCTATCATATTTATCCATCAGTCACCTCTCAGAAATTTCTCTCAGACTCATTTTGATTGGTCATACACAACCAGCAATGCTAAACTCTCCTCAAGGTTGATTTTATAACCCTTACTGTTCCCCTGTCCCTGTCATTATTGACTTGCTACTCACCTCCCCTTGCCTTATCCCCTCCCATCCCACCCCCTTCCAAACCATTGTTCCTGTCTCCATGGGTTTGTTTATCCTGCCTAATAATGTAGATAGATACAAAAAAAGAAGGAAAAGAAAGAAAAGCCATATAAATAGTTCCAAATTTAACTAGTATCCTGACCCAGAGTAGATGAATATCTCTCAGTTAAATAGCAAGCAGGGCCTGTTGTAATCCCTCAGCCCAATCTCCTTTTTTTTTTTCTTCAGGATTCTGTATCTAGGCATTTGCTTACCTAAAAGCACTCATACTCTTTAGTCCTCAGCATTTGTTCCCCAAGAGCGCACCTCCTACAACTCCCCTTTGCTTTTTCTGAAGTCAAGGATGGAGCAGTAGGGTGTCCCTCTCCCGGCCCCCAATCCATTACCATCATAATGCCATGACCCTTCAATACAGTTCCTCATGTTGTCCTGACCCCCCAACCATAAAATTATTTTCATCGCTACTTCGTAACTGTAATTTTGCTACTGTTATGAATTGGGCGACTCCTATGAAAGGTTCTCTGGACCCTCAAAGGGGTTGTGACCCATAGGTCGAGAACCACTGCTTTAGTTTTTCGGTGTGACCTCCCTTGTAAGTAGCCCCCTATCAGTTTGGGTGAGGTGCCAAGTGCTGCCCA